TAGGTACAGTCATTAGACAAAAAGATGACTTTTCATGTTATATGTTGACAAACTGCACATAGAAACATTGTTCGCGATGTTTGCCGTCAGATATTCCCGTCTCGTCAACATGTAAGTTAGCATGTAACGTTATTTGTTAAAGGGGAAATGAAACGTCCATATTTTCGCAGTGGTAGTGCTAGTAGCTACAGCCTACATACTAGGAAAAAGTGTCTCCGCTCTGACATCCTTCAGGTAAAGCATCGCCGCTTCCACACGTCTAACTCCCGGCACGGCATGGTAAACGTGCACGCCGGTGATGCAGAATTGACCACGCAACACATGCTCAAGATCAACCTCTAGACAACAGATGGACTAACGCTACAACAGCCACACTGACACCTGGTAAGTTAGCGTTGCAAACCCGCTCTTTGCCCCAAACCACCACCGGCTGTTCTACATAGCAACGTAACTTAACGTTACATGGTGTTGACGAGACGGGAATATGACGGCAGACATCGCGAACAATGTTTCTTTGTGCAGTTTGTCAACATATAACATTAGACGTCGTCTTTTTGTCTAATGACTGTACCTAACATTAGTCGTTCGCGGTCAAAACACTGGTGTAAACACAGTTTGATGTCGTGATTTTCAATGCCCAGAGCCTGTTAAACTTGAGCCAACCAACCCCGTGACGTCAACAGCACAATGGCGGCGCCCTGGCGGCGAAAGATACAAAGTTTTTTCTTTTTTTCTTCTAAATGTTTACATTTGTAATGTTTCTTATATAATTGTTGATTATATTGGAAATCCATCTTGTAAATCATGTAAACTTGATTCACTGCTTCATTTCCCCTTTAAGGAACTGTATAAGAAAAAATGTATATAGAATTGTTGGAGCCAAATCGGTGATGTAATTTTTCAGAGTGACATGAATGAGATTTAAGAGCCTGAAGGAATATTTTCATAGAATAACTGATTAAAAAAACACAAGTACACAGTCAAACAAAACAAATTTACACAGAAAAGTTCATAGTAATAAAGTACTTGTAGTGTGGTGCCGGTAACTTCCTCCTGTAATTCAATGTAGCCTCTGAAATGTTCAGATGATTTTAGAAATGCAGTGGTTCTTCTGAGGAAACAAAAGAACAAAGTTGATTAATTTATATCCATTCACAACATAATAATTATTGGCCAGTAAAGGGCTTTAAAATGTTTTTTGAAAGAATCAGGGGACCTGTAGTAGGGTAATAAACAAAAACAGACCAAACTAAAGCCTATCCACTTGTTATTCATAACGCAAATGACGACAGTCGACTGCAGGAATTAGCTATTAATACGTTATATCAGCAATTTGAAGATACAGTTGTACAGAATACATTTAAGTGAATGACTAAAACAATCTAAGACAATAAGTCAATGATTTTTATTAATTCTTTAACGTTAGATTAGTTAGCGTCGCGGCTCAAACCTTCATACCACATGCTGTAGGCTACTGTGCAATAAACGAGTGATAAACTCTGTAAAAACGCGTGTTTTAGTTTATATATGTATGTGTTTGAATATATAGTGAATAGACTCAGTATTTATATTACTTTGGCGAGTTTACAAACCTTGTAACGGAGAGCCGAACAAACAGCCGAAGCTTTGATGAGAGGAGCCGTTACTTTCAAATCCGACGACGATCAGCTGATCTGTGTTGCGCGCGAGCGAGCAGCGCGAGGTTCACTGAAGCGATAACAGCAGATGAATAGCAGCAGTTTCGTTACAGAATAAAACTGTTCTCTTCCTGCTTCTTCTTCTTCTTCTTCTTCTCATATTCATATGATCATATTATCATTATAATTATTATTAGACATACTTACTATTTTTTTGTCGTTGTTTAAGTTTTAAATGAATCAATAAAATAGGCCAATACTAATTGAATGTAAGTATACTAGCTGCATCAGAAATATAATTTTCGAAATATATATATATATATATATATATATACAGTATATTAGGTATAACTAACACAGTCTCATCCCAAATCGTCATATAACTGACGTTTTGGGACGTCTTTTGACCATACGTCAATATACGCCTTTTTAGGGCCCCCTTAAACGTCGGTAGATGGCGATCCCGGGCCGTCATACAACTGACGCTTTACCTTTAACGTCAGTTAGGTGACGGGTTAGGTTTAGGGTTAAGTTTAGGTATGGGGTAGAGTTAGGATCCCATAACCTCATCTACCGACGTTTAAGGGGGACCTAAAAAGGCGAATATTGACGTATGGTCAAAAGACGTCCCAAAACGTCAGTTATATGACGATTTGGGATGAGACCGGGTTGGTATAACATACTTAAGTATAACAATAATAGGATAGTAATAGTATTATTTAATTATTTTAATAATAGTATTATATAATAGTATCATAATAAGATAATAATTGTATTCTGGACTCACAGAACAATTAGGTTCCTCCAGATGCTGACTTTAACATAAGAGATCTTCCAGGAACCATTTAAATGTTAAAAGATCTTACAATAACCCTTTTATAGCATTTAAGTTCCTCTAATTTCCCCCAAAGCACTTCGAGGCCTCATGGTAGTGAAAAGGTACCTCCAGAACCTCTGAAATTAATACAAAGTGCTTCAAGGATCCCATAAGTTCCAGCAAGAACCGCTAAGATTGTCAATGCTCCTCCAGTAACCCCAACTCTATGAGAAAGAGCTTTGAGGCACTTAAATTGTGTTTTTAGGTTCCTTGAGTATCCAACAGGATATTTGAGGCACCTTTAGTTTTTACAGTGTAGGTTCAGGGTTATTACCCAGTAATTAGTTACTAAAATAAGTACATAGGATTTACATGGGCAACTGGACTGTAAAAGGAAGCGTTACCTTTTAATTTTGCCGTCATTTACTACACTCACCTTCATTTGGAAGAATGTCCTGGAAGAATGTCCCAATTTTTTGTCCTTCATTTGGAAGAATGTCCCAATCTTTTCAATGCAATTACCATGAATGGGTACTGGAGCTCTCAAGCTTCTAAAAGTACAGAAAGCACCATAAAACTGTAATAAATGTGGTTTATATAACTTGTGTGCTATATTCCAAGTCCTCTGAAGCAGTGGTATTGCTGTTGTTAACTAAGCCTAAAGCTAAAATGAGTAAAAAATGGTTTCAGTAATTGAAATAATGCTGAAATTAAAATGAGAAAAGGCGTCTTATAGTGAGAAGAGGACTTTTGACAATGCGTATATATCCAACGCACATGGCACCCTTTAACGTCAATATAACACGCTTTGGTTATGGGTAGGTTTAGGTCAGGGGTAGGGATAGGGTTAGACCACTAGGAGGCGCCATATATCTGCTTCTCATATTGACGCTAAAGGGTGCCATGTGCGTTGGATGTATACGCATTGGCAAAAGCGTCAATATATGACGCCTTGGGATGAGAACGGACAGGTTACACAGTAAAGCCGCCTTTCCAATGCACACGACATACGACAGCCACTGAATCAGAAATCATTCATTTCCAATAGAAAGCAGTACGGGGGCTGCGTGGAGTTCCGATCATATGCGCATGTGGAAATTATCGACATAAATGAATGCTTTACATGGGGGAATTGTGTTTTCGTCACTCATCTGTGCATGTCTCATCATATTGGTAAATAGAGAAAATCTGTTCCGGCTTGTTTTCATGGTGTTTTTACAGTATTACTCAACAGGTGAGTATTATATTGAACAGAAAAATAGACATATTTAGCTCTACTTGGTATAGCTACAGTAATCACAATGGTTAATAGTTCACTGAAGAGGAAGATTAGCAGTAGCAGCATCTGTTTTTCAACCTAATCTATAGTATGACTTATAGTATGACTTGGTCATATAGACCACTTACATTTTTGTAGCTTTTTGTCCTTTTTGATGATTGATAGCTCCAGAGTACAATCAACATAATTGCATCGAAAAGAGCATCCAGGGCATTTTTCCTTTAGTGTAAAGAGAAATAAAGTCATACAGGTTTGCAGATACATGTAAATGAACGATTTTTCATTTTTGGTTGAACTATCCCACTATTCCATGTAGGCCTGACTTAAAAGACGAGATAGAGATCGATTTAAAAAAAAAAATGTTGAAGAGTTATAAGGTGTAGCCTGAAATACGCTAAACTATTAGCACTATTATCAAAGGACATTAGTGCGTACTAAAGTGGGAAATTATCTTTGATTCCACAGGACTCTAATTGTGTGTCAGGACTACAAAAGCCATAAACACCTGCTGCACATATGCAAAGTAAAAAACATGTCATGCCATCATCTTCACTGACCTCTCTAGCGCTGCTTTTTCCTGTCCTCGTCCGCATGCGACCGCACTGTGTGAAAGGCGGTAATTTGATCATTTGACATATGCCGCTGTCAGATGATGTTTTCTTCTGTCTCTCAGAGTGAGTGCCTTGCATTTATCTTCTCGCATGAGCCTGACCTCATCTCTCAACCTGTTGTCTTCTACCCCTTCATAATTACCCGAGCAGGGGGGGGGCATAGCCAGCATTTCACACACCTGCCTCTCAGAGTTTAACAGAGCATGAATGAGTCTTTAAATGCGTGCTATTTAAGTGCACACGTTTACCTCAGGCTTTATTTTGACCATGGTTTCAGTGGCTTTTCTGTATACCTGTACCTGAAAAAATGCACGGCCTACAGTGAATTCAAAACATTTTTTTGGACACTTTTGGTCACTTAAAATTTAAAACAAAGAAAGAAACAAAAAAGTGAATCTGATGGCACAGTTAGAAACTTCAACACAAGTGGCATTTGCAAACTTTATTACAACTGTGTTGTATTATTTGAAAACAAAAGTGCATTTCTTTTTTTTAAATGACAGTTGGTTTGACTTTTATATAAATATATATAATCAGATTTTAAGTGTCCAGATACTTTTTGGAGCCACTTCACATTTTTCAAATGAGTTGAGGCTCCAGTGAACCAGAAAACTAAAGCTTATATAATCATGGAAAAATGTAATTATTATGCGCATAAAAATCACTCCATGAGGATATAAACACAAGATTTGGCCGCTAAAGAGCTGGATCTATTAATAATTCAATATTCAGACCTGTTCTGCCTCACATCGGTTGAAAGCGCAGTCAAATCTATGAAGATAAACAGAATTAGATATGGGGATATAAAGTATATTAGTACCGTGACTTGGCTTAAATATATACAGACAGGAAACGCCATATTCCTGTGGGAAATCTCCAGACGATCATCTGTCCCGAAGGAATGAATGGGTTTTCCATTTGGATGTGATCTCTGTGATTCTGCATTTCTCAGCGCACTAAATTCCCATCAGGCACCACATCTGGACGCTGGTTTGTATGTCCCTGTCAGTTCATCCTTGTGTGTGTATGTGTTGCGTCTGCATTGTCTGATTGCGGCGTGATTGGGAGCACAGGTCGGATTCTTGTTGGTGGAGGTGGCTTCTGCTCTGATTCGGCATGGCGGTTCCTGATGTTTCGAAACAATACAGATGGCTGTGAATGGCCGAATTCGGCTGAATTCAAAGAATAATGGGTAATAAAGTGCAGTTTTCAGCAATGTAAATGTATTCGTTCTCTTCTTATTTGTGGCGATCCTTTGGAATCGCAACAACCGCACAACAGCAGAGACGAGAAAAAGCATACATAAATATGACGGTAATGATTACGTTTAGATGGTAATTTTTAAGCTTAGCAATGACTTTAGCATTACAGCACACGTACACTGTAAAAAATATTTTCAAAATTTGTTATCACAACATATTTTCTTTTGTCAAATCAACTTTATAATAATTTATTTAGTTGAGATAACTTATTATTTTGAGTTTCTGATGATTAAATTAATCTACTTTATTGTATTAACTCACTTTTTCCAGTTCAATCAACTTAAAATTTTAAAGCAACCCAGGTTACTTACTTTTTTTAAGTTAAACCAACAATATTTTTTTACAGTGTAGTAATCACATTTTTTTCTTTTGTCAAATCAACTTAAATAATTTATTTAGTTCAGATAATATATAATTTTGAGTTTCTGATGATGAATATTAACTCACTTTTTCCAGTTCAATGAACTTAAAATTTTAAGGCAACCAGGTTACTTAATTTTTTAAGTTAAACCAACAATTTTTTTACAGTGTAGATGTTACTATATCTCTGAAGAATGTCAGTTGTAATTGTAGATTTTATGTAAAGCGTCTATATATTTTTAAATGCCACATTCCAGTATAATGTGCATGTGAGACAACTGGTGTTGTCAAACATATACAGTATATTGTATAGTAATTTTACTACTGCAGTCTATTTCATTTTATAGTGCAGTTAAATTATTATTATTATCTCCCTCATAGCTAGGGCCTGAGGAATTTCAGGGAAAATACTTTATGGTCAAAAGCACAATGTCGCGGCGTTTTTCCCTGTGGTATCGAGAATGGTATTAAACATCAATACGTATGTCCCAAGGTATTGTATCCAAATTACAGGGGGGCTACTTCCCTGAAAATCATTATAGCATTAGCTCAACAACCAATCAATGTGAGGTTAGGGTTAGACTAACTTGTTGTCTGTCCAATAGCAGAGAAGGGTTTTGAAAACCTTTGAAAAGTCATTATATTTGCAGTTGTGTTGAAGAAATGACAAGCTGTGTAAGTGTGTTTGTTGTAGTGAAAGCTCAATTTTCGCCATCATTGGGTGCATGGATGGCTTTATGCTTTACACACAAACTGCCCATTTATGCCTGATGCCTGAGGTATTGTGCACATTTCGAAAGCTAGATGCACGCCATCTATGTATTCATTGATTTATATTACCCAATGCCAACACTATGAGACACTAGCCAATTCCTGATATAAATTTAGCTTAGCAACTAAGCAGTCAAGTCATATTTCAATTGACTTTGATACATTAAGAGAGAATTACTGGTGGTATTTGATTCAAATGAAAAAGCAAGGAACCATGTCCTAGAGAAAATGTATTTTACAATAATATTCACCCCCCAAATAAAAAAAAACCCTGATAAGCATAAAATCAAATCCAATGCCACTCCACTTTATTGCATTTGGCTCTGTGAAAAAGCTCCATGGGGTTTTGTCTGGGGAAAAATAAGGAGCCCGCTGCACAAAACTCACAGGCTGCTATACAAGGCCACTCCATGTGCACACATTTGAATGCGAGCCTCAATTTGAGCCACTTACGAATCAAAAGCAGAGAGTCTAGTCTCCAGCAAGGCCAGGAAAGCTCTATGCATCCAAATTGCTTTGAGAGGAAGGGAGCATCTGGTCCATTGAAATCAACTTAATGCATGTTTGCCAAAGGTACCGTCTGGCAAAATAGAGCTTTTTTTTTTTTGGTAGAGTCCCCTTCTCTCCCCTCCATTTGCACCCCTCTTCCCTCTTTCAGGGCTTTGGAAGGGTTATATGAAAAGGCATGTAGGCTGATGAAAATGAAGCTTTTATATTGAGAGATGAAGTTGGAGTGAACAAAAATCGAATAGTCACGATCTATCAATGGACTCGCGTCCATGCAACCTCGCGTTTCAGGGACTGTACTGAAAAACCTGTGTGATCCAGACAGCTGTCCAAGGTTGGGGTCAGATTTCAGGACAAAGGTCAATGCTGAATCAAAATGTGTTACACTGATCCGTCTGAATGACTTTCTTGCCCTGTTGTTAATCTTTGCCTCTCTGTTGAGAATGAGTACGTTTCCGACTAATATTGATCACATCCAACACCTGAGTGTACAACAGCCAGTAAAAACACAACAGAACGTCAATTTCCAAAAGTGTATGTCCAGCATGCACACACACACACCCATTCATGCGTTCTTCCTGTGCTGACCTCAAAGGCAGGGCAGAGCGCAGCTTGAAACTGGTTGCTTTTGGCAGGACACAGGGAGTCCAGGCAGGGTGAGCCAGTCTCCCTGAGCCTGCTGCTCCAACAATAACGCTGTGTGTTTGGTTTGGCCTTGGTCTATCCTCCCCCCCCCTTAATTTAAGACTTAAATCCCCACGGCCATCCAGCATGTGGCGGGGAGAGTCTGATAGTGCCGCTAAGAAGGGACTCCATACCACAAGGGCTGATGGAAAATGTAGTCATTCAGGAGAAACTTGTGAGGCCACGAAGCAAATAAACTAGGGCTGTGCTGCTGTGTTACGTGTGAAATCTTTTAAATGTGTGTAATATGATTATATTCATTCAAATCAGTAATGCATGTAACATTATTTTCTGTCCTATTTCCAAGAGTCGTCAAGACCAGCAGCAAACGAAACTAAAACTAAACTAAACATTTGTTTCGTGACACAAACTTAAATGATGCAATTAGCCTACATGAAATTTTGGGTTCAGTAAGATTAGACCGTTTTGAAAGGAAAAAAAAATTACTTTTAAGGATGCATTACGTTGATCGAAACTCTATGTGTAAATACTTATTATAACAAACAATGGTTAGAGACTTTATGTGGCCGTTTACACGACACAGTTTTCAACAAAAAATGGAAGACTTTTGTCATGACCGAGCTCAAAAGGCCATGACAAAAACTGGGAAAGGACTCAGCAATTGATTTAAACAAGGTTTATTATAACGTAAAGTAATCAAACAATACCTGAATAATGGGATGAGTTAGTCAGCAACCTCAGTTATGTAAGTGTGGATGAGTGGTCGTGGCGTAAAGTGTTGTAGTGTTAAAATAAAAACAAGCATGAAACAAAACCAAAACAAATGACTGCTTGGGAACAGGAACAGGAAGGTCTGAACAGGAATGTTACACGACAATGATATTTACATGACAACGATATTTATAATTACTGCCAATGCAGTAATTACACATTTAAGTACTGAGTATTAATTAACTACATGTGCTTACTACAGGGATAGGATTAGGATGAGGGTTTGGGTAAGGGGTTTATTGCATGCAATTAGGCATAATTTGTTGTTATTACTACAGTAACTACATGTAACATGCGTAAAATAAAGTTTTACCCCAAAAATATTTTAGGCTGTATGTACACCAAAGAATCCTGAAAAAAAGTATCATACTTTCCACAAAAATTAAGAATGTTTGGGATTATTTCTGAAGGATCATGTTACACTGAAGACTGAAGTAATGGTGGCCAAATTCAGCTTTGCTATTACAAGAAAAAAAAAAATACATTTTAAATATGTTCACATAGAAAATAATTTTTTTTGAAAATAATATTTAAATATAATATATAAATATATTTAAATTATATATTAAATATTATTTTCTAAAACTTTTATTTTCTATGTGAACATATTTAAAATGTAATTTTTTTTCTCGTATATGTATATATGAAGAGTTCAGATGCAAAAGCCTCTAAATGCCATTTGAAATTTTCTTCTGTAATGATGATTTTTTTTATCAAACTTGTATATTTAAGTTCAGTAATTTCACTTAAATAACAATTAATAGGTAATTATCATTGCCATTTAAGTGAAATTACTGAACTTAAATATACAAGTTTGATAAAAATCATTATTAAAGAAGAAAATTTCAAATGGCATTTAGAGGCTTTTGCATCTGAACTCTTCATATATATATACAGTATATATATATATATATATATATATATATATATATATATATATATATATATAAGAAAAAAATTACATTTTAAATATGTTGCGTATAAATATGTAAAATAAATATGTAAATATATATATATATATATACTGTATATATATGTGTGTGTGTGTGTGTGTGTTTGCAGATAAATGCAGACTTATAAAATAAATAAATGCAGACAAATTAAATAAATAAATAAAACTGATCCCAAAATGTTGTGCAATCTATATTGTTTTCTTATTTGTATTAATAATTTAATGTATTGCACACTAAAACCAAAAGTAGCAAAAATAGCAACAGAGGTGCCAGACTTAAATAATACATGTTGTTTGAAAGTGTCAACTCAAAACTCAAATGTAAAACAGTCTACATGAGACTAAACCCTCTTTTTTTCGCTCCTGTACACACCAACACTAAACACAGTTCACATGTGCATAAAATATCGCTCATCTTCACAACAAATGATTAGAGAACCTGCCTGTTTTCACATGTATTGCTGTGTGGTGTTCATTAAAAAGGAATATTAATGGAAGGTAAGATGATGTTGGAGGCTGCTGACCCCGTGGCCTGTGTGTAATATCCCCAGTGTGTGTCGAACCCCCTCCTCCTCGGGGGAGCAGTCAGATTAGGCAGTGCAGCTCTGCAGAAGGCCTCTAATCACTCCGCATTAGCATAACAAAAGAGGGAGAGCGGCTGGCCAGTGCAGCCGCGCGCCACACAACCCATTACTGGCAGCCTTTATTACAATTATCACGTCCATAGTGCCTGCACTACCGCTGACGGGCAGAGAGTGTGTGTGAGGGGTTTTAGAGGGGCTGTGTAAAGAGTGTGTGTGCATATACAAGTGGCTGGGTGTGAGTGGGAGTGTGTGCAGCTGTGTAGTTTGAGCGCAA